GCGGGCCAGGCCCGACCGACCCCGGAGCCCACAACAAACACACCCAACCCCCGCCGACATCGATCGCTGCCCGCCCCACCAGGCAACCCCGAGCCGCAGAGAGGCAACGCCGCCGAGGGATGCGGCAAGAGGGGGCCGCGCGGCTTACCGAACACCGAAAGCAACGGCCCGTCCGTGAGCTTCGGCCGCGCCCGACCAAAGGGTGGCGGCACAGGGGGCCTCGGGAAAGAATAAAAGGGGGAAACAGAGAGGGCCGGGGAAGAAGGCACGTAGCGACCCAGGAGGCACAGAGAGAGAGCCCGGGAACGAAGGAACAGAGAGAGAGGAGAAGGGCACCGTCGCAGCGTGTAGGCAGAGGGGCACTACGGGGTGCACACAACCCCGCCCCCTGCCAATCTGAGGCCACCTCTCCCCCGCTTTCTTCAGACGCCTTCGCTCATCCACCTCGCACCCCTCGGGCATCCCGTCTGTCACCCCCCACCACGGCCACCGGGGGCGCACCGCCGACGGCCCAGGGGGATCACGACAGTGACACAGAGTGTTGGACTGGATGGGCCTTTGGCCTGATCCAACATTGGCGTCTCTTATGTTCTTAAATGTTAGATTAACACAGCCATCAGGGTCGGTGTGTACAGGCTAATGTTTGATGTTGTGGTGCCCTTGCAGTTCTGCCTTGAGCCTCAGGAGAAAAGGGGAGATACACACAAATAAGATGACTCGTCATGTTTTCCCAACTCTGCTGCTTTTTGACAAAATGTTTATTTGCATAGCTAAGGAATTATATAATGGTCACCTGACTAAAGTTTTGAAATTGTTTCTTATATGCCTCAATCATAGGAGCGATGGACAACGGCCCAAGAGCTTTGCCAGATGCATGTCAGATTTGTCTCTGACCATTAAAACACCACATTAAAACACCACTTGCAAGGAATTGCTGAGGGCCTTCTCCCCTTTTCATGAGAGCCCCCATAACCTCTCCCCTTTTCCCACTTCCGTCTTTCCTTTCCACCCACCAGATAACATACCTTTATCTGCCCCCCCCCATGTCTTCAGCTTTCCCTCCTTTCCTCTCCTGGCAGCCTGACCCCAGGCAAAGCCTGGCCACGTTGCATGGGACCATCCACTGAGCTGGGCCCAGCTGTGTGGGTTGTGAATCTCCAGCAGTCATTACAGAGCCTGTTCCCCACAAGTCCTCCTGCATCAAGAACATGACAGAGGAGGGGGAAGGGACTTTTTCCAGGGCTGTTTTGCCCTACATAATTACCACTGTTCTCCCCCCCCGGGCTTTTCATTATAGAAGCCAAGGCTTAGAACAGGGGTGTTATGAGGGCCGGATCTGACATAAATGAGACTTTGTTGGGCCAGGCCATGTGTGCCATAAAATGTAATGCCAAGTAGCAGAGATATAAATGTTATAAAGGACACAAACACAAAGGTGGGTTTTTTTTAACTTAAAATAAAAACATGCTTAAAACATTAGCATTCTTCCAATATTTCGTTTATTCAACAGTGTCTGATAACTGACACCTCTTGCTCTGTATTATTGCATCAAAATGTCTGTACTGTTGCAATCTTGTAAGCTGCAAACCTACGATGACGCAGCAGCAGCAGAACCGGAAGAAGCAGAAGACAGCCAGTTCCACTGCAGGCCTGATAGAAGCCCTCTGGGGGCCTGATCTGGCCGCCGGGCCACATGTTTGACACCCCTTGCTTAGAAGGTTCAACAATATTGTTGTGGTTGCCTAACAACCTCCAAAAGGCCAATGGGCATTCTTTTCTAGAAACAACAACAAATATTGTTTCTATTTTGGGGTGGAGTTTTAATCCCCAATGTATTTTTTTTAAGATTTCAGATTTTTCTGCAAACCTAGAATTTCCTTCAGGTTTGTACAGAATTCCTCCCTATCAGTCCCTAGCTCTATTTTGCATATCTATTAGTCATATCCTCTATAACGCAGTTCAGAACAATTATGCATCTGTAGTTATTTTCAGGCTACGAAGCTAGTCACCTTTTCAAAATGTGAAAAGGGAAAAAGGCAACATCAGAGACAGTTCTCAGGAAAACAGAATACTAGATAGTCTGTCATTATCACCTGATCCTCTTCAGCAACAGCAGAAGGATTTCTGAAAACAAACTCTCACCTTGGAACGATCAGGGTCACAAAAGTCCAATAAGGTGTCACAGACGTGATAGCCTAGAGATTTGAGGTCCTCATGAGTAAAATGGGAGTTACACTTATTGCCTGAGAAAGAAAAAACAGACATATGGCTCTTTAGTTTTTAACAAATAACTCTCCCATGCATAGCATCGAGCAAGAAATAAATTCCATAAAAGGAGTGAATGTCTCCTCCTATTAATCAATATGTTTATTACTTAACCATGATGGCCTTTCTGCCTTTTTTGCTGTCTCTCACCCTCTTGTATCTAATTTACCAACGGATGTAGGGGGCCATCCCAAATGCTTTCCTTTCCCCCGGGAAATAACATTTCTCTTAGGATAACACGAGATCTAACCACATACTGCCTTCCCCAAATAATGGATGGGAATAGAGACAACCATATTTTAGAGAAGGATATACTTGCCCAAGCATGGACGATGGTGAACTTTTGGCAGCAGGAAAAGGAGGGCCACACCAAACATGGAGCAACAAACAAGAGATAATTGGTGTAGTGGGACAATTAATTTTAATTCACTCTGAGACCTCTATACATTTCACATTTGCTTTATCAGGAAGATCTGTACAATACCAGTCTGAACACTGCCCACAGCAACAGACGGTGTTTGAGCAAAAACATTGTTTCTGTCAGAAATGTTCAGCCTATGATACCGGTATTTTAACAGGGTCCCCTGATGAAGCATATGTGAAATGCATAGGAGTCTCAGAGTGAAATAAAATTGTCAGAAACACCTTGTGGAAAAATCACAATCTTTAAATCAAAAGTAAGCATGCTTCTTAGGATGACTTCATCCAGACAGATGGGTGAGGATCCTGGACCTTCAGTGAAGGTTTCTGCTCACACTACTGTACCCTAGTCATCGTTTCCTTATCCTTGAGTGAAGGTGGGTGAATTCAGTCTTGGGCAGAGATGCTCACAGTTTACGAATCTTACCCAGTGTCGATCCACTGAATGTGGATTCCATGGTGTAACTATTCATTATTCCCATTCTCCACATCACAATCCGTCCTGTTCCTTCCTTATTCTTTTGGACCTTAAATTTGCAGCTGTTGAAAGAAAACTGAACAACATTTTGATTAGTCAATTTAAAATTTATTCTTAGACCCAATTAGCCCTCTGTCTTGAAGTACTGCTTGGATGAACTTTCTTCTATTTCCTATTCTGTTGCCATTTTTTAAAATGAAAATGGAGTTGGGGATGGCTGCCGCTGGGGGCCTGGAGCAGGGAAGCAGCAAGGAAAGCTGCTGTGTGGAAGCCCTGTGGCCACAGCACTGTACGGACAGCCACAGCGGTGATGGGGAAAAGATACAAGCCTGTGTCTGTAGAAAACACCAGCATTTAAAACATCCAGATACTCGGCTGGTATTACTTCTGAGACAATATTATCCTTTCCCTGACCTTGATGGCCCAGGCTAGCCTGATCTTGTCAGATCTTGGAAGCTCAACGGGGTAGGCCCCGGTTAGTATCTGAATGGGGGGCCATCAAGGAAGCCCAGGGTCACCACACATTGGCAGGCCATGGCACACCCCCTCTGATTGTCTCTTGCTTTGAAAACCCTCTATATGGCTGTGACTTGATGGCCCTTTCCCCCTTCTTCAAGATCCTTTCTCCCTAAATTACTACTGCCTGAGCTCACCCTACCGATACCTTAACTAATTCCCTATTAGAGCCATTTTTGGATTCTCTCAAAAAAAAATTAGCTCCATTGAAGATTGGGCTTAGTATGAACCTTCTACTGACACAGCACTTTACAGATGGGAGTATGGACCTAAAGGATCCAAGTCAGAATGTTTAAACTTTCCCATTTCCAAAGCACCAAGCCAGCTAAACTTATATACAAGGATATGTTGTCGAAGGCATCCACAGCCAGAGTTCATTAGTTGCTGTAGATTTTCTGGGTTGTGTGGCTGTGGCCGGAAAATCTACAGCAACTAACTTATATACAAGGTGATGGTTGCCTCCACAAAGAGTACAGAACTAGATATGGACAAAGACATCATGATGAAAGGAGAACATCCAGCCCAAATTTCAGAATAAGAGAATGCTGCCAGTTGGCCCCACCTTGTCAGGAATATTCTTGCTCAGCATAAGAGGAAAGACCCGTTCATGGAGCAGCTGCTCTGACACATGTTTCCTGTTGCAGCCATACATGAAGACATTGTTCTTGCGGCTGTGCCCATGGAAGTCACAATACAGCAGAATTTCCCGTTCCTCAAGGACTCTTGGAAAGAAGGATACAAGAAACCAGGAACCAATTCAGTGTATAAATAGATGAAAGAAAACATATAAATAGCTACGCTGTACTCTGTTTATTTCACACTCATGTGGAGGAGACAAGCAGTCAGGGCAAGTTCCATGATAAATTCAACCATTTTTTAATAAAAAATGATTACAATTACTAAAAAATAAAAAAGGATACAGAATACGCATAAATACATTGCCATACAAAATCGCAATCCACCCTGTCTTATGAATGTAGAGAATCCTATTCCAGCAGTTGTCAATGTATCTGTTAAATATTAACAGCTCTATTTTTTATATTGCTCGTGACCATAGATTATCTAATCTATATACATCTCTATTCCTCTGGTAATATCTATATATCTAATAGCCAACTTGCCCCCTCTCTATATATCTAATAGCCAACTTGCCCCCTCCGTGCGGATCGCTAAATCAGCACGGAGGGGGCAGGTGGGGGGGAGGGGGAGGTTTGTGCACACGTGGGCCAGTCCCCACGTGTGCACAAAAATGCAAAAAGTTTAAAAAAATTTCGGGGGGATGTTTAAATCCCCCCGAAAGTGCAAGAGCGTCTCCTGCGCATGCGCAGGAGACGCTCTGCAACGCCCCCGCCACCGCCTCGGAGCCAGCCG